AAGACTTTTCCATTGACAAAGCAAATGCTTACGTGATTGACTCCACACGCACCTCCCGTTTTTACAAACAAGAGAATCAAGGCGCCCTTTGTACAACTGAAGCTGATTTGGCGTAATGGCAATGGAGACAGATGATTTGAAAACGGGTAAGGGATTCCGAGTCAGGTGATTCCTCTTGAAGAAAAGTATGAAAGGAGAAAAGTCAAGATATTCAGGTTATTCAAGAAAAAAGGAGTTCCTATTTAAGAAGTAATTATCTAAGAATCATTGAGATATGGTCATGGTGGGGATGCTAAATGGTTTTAAATTTCTCCTTCAGGTTCCAAATTACATAAACCAAACCTAACTAGCAGTTCGACCGGTTCCAATGTCGAAAATTTGTAGACCGGTCAACTGATAGTTTAGCCGAACCGGAAACGATTTACTGTAAGTTTGATCAAGTCACTCTAGTCATGATATTATTTTATTATTTTTCAAATAACTCTAAATAAATATATAATTTATTCTTGAATTATTTTTTAAAAAAAAAAATTAATTATTTTAAAGAATATTATTCATTCATTCACTCATTCACTCATTATTACCATAATTATTATAAATTGAATTAAAAAAAATTTAGTTAATGGAGGTATTACCAATCACTATCTATCTAAATCTCGGATGATCGACTGCTCCGTGCATCACCGATTACCTACTCCTTTTTGTACCTTCATGACCGTTTTTTTTTTCTTTTCAAAATTACTTACGGCCATTATGTTTCGGTCTAACTAATTGACTTTAAATGGACTCGTCTTTACCATCACCCTACATACAGTACATTGAAAGGTGGGGAGACGCCTTAAATACAGTCTCATCTCATTGAATGCAAAAAAAAAAAACATAAACACAATATTCTAGGCTGTAAAACGATGGTGTGCATTTTGTTTTGTCAACATCAAAATAAAAATGCAAAGCAAAACCTCCCGTTGGCGTACCTCTTTGGTCAATCAGATTTTTCGGCATTTGGCGCAAACGTTCGCCAAGTTTTCAATTCAAATTAGGAAACCCTCGTGACCACTCACATCTATGTTTGGAAATTAGAAACAGGGAATTGTATGCACGGAAAAATGAAGGGAAACGT